CACGGGATAAGTGTGTTTGAGGTGAGGGGGAGGATTCTGAGGAGATGGTCAACAATATGTTTTTCACTGTAATAAAATTTAAAAACTTAAACATTCACCATATATTTTGATCACCCATTTATCATAATTGCCAATTTAATTGGGGGGGGTTGGTGCTGGGGATAGCACCCAGAGCCTCACTCTTGTTAGGTAAACCCTGTACCACTGAGCTACACCCCAGGCCCTTTTTATTTACTGTTCTGAAATAGAGTCTCACTAAGTTGCCCATGTTGACCTGCAACCTGCAGTTCTCCTGCCTCAGCCTCCTGAGTAGCTGGAATGACAGTAGGTCTGGCTATCATTTCCAGTTCAGAGCTCAGAACTCTGAGCGTCCGAGACTGGAGGGAGTGGCGCAGACTCTCTGTAAGCAGAAAGGCTGAGGCTCCCGTGCAGAGGGGCGGCGGGGGCGGCTCATCTCCGGGATGGTCCCAGCGACCCCTGGGGCTCGGGCCCCACTTCCTGTGGTACACAGCTGCCTCTCTGGGTCTTGGCCGGCCCTGTGACTGGCACCACGTGAGGGTCGGCGGGGAGGGGACACCGCTAGGGCTGGGTCTCACCTGGAAGGAGCCTGGCTAACTTGCTCCTCTGTCGGGATTCTCCTTTTGGAGCCTTTGCTCCACTGGAGACCCCGCGGGAGGGCAGGACAGGTCCTGAGGCTGCGAGGAGAGACAGAGGTGCCCGCCAGCATGCGGCCCTGGGAGGAGCTCCAAGAACTGAAGGCGAAGAACCGTCCCTCCAACCGCCAGAGCAGGGAGCAAGGCAAGTGGTCCCAAGTGCTGCAGAGTTTGTCACACAGAAATACCTGGACAGTACTTGCTTTTTCCTGTACCGGGCGTTGAACCCAGGACCCCTCATGCCTTCGGCAAGCTCTCTACCACTGAGCTACATCCTCAGCCCTTTTATTTTATTCTGAGACAGGATCTCACTAAGGTGCCCAGGCCGGCCTTGCACTTGCAATCCTCCTGCCTCAGCTTCCCAAACGGCTGGGCTTCCTAGCAGGTGCCACACATCTGGCCCCCGCCTTCCTGTGCCCTGGCTATTTCCAGCCCTGTTTCAGGGCAGCAAATGCATTGCGGAAATGGTGGGGTGCACACCTCGGCTCTTCGGGGCTTCTCTGCCCACCCCCAGCTCGGGGACACACCAGACAGCTGAGTTCCTGCTATGAACACAACGTACGGATGACGGCCCTGCGGGCTGAGGGGGCGGGCTGCACCACGAGTGACAGCACAGCCGTGAAGGGCCGGCCCAGGGGCCGGGACGGCCAGGTGGGAGACAGCGCCTCCTGGGGACAAGTGTCGCATCCTGCCCTTCCCAGAGCGTGAGGACACAAAACGGACGGGGTGTGGGGCCCACAGGGCCAGACCATGCGCGGCTCCTTGCCAGCTCTGTTCATAGCGGGAAGACAAAGGTTCCACACGAAAGCACCCCAGGACTCCGCAGGCAGGACTCCAAGGCCTCTGGAAAACGGATGCCGCTAGGCCAGGGCTCCCAACAAAGAGACCATCGTGGGAGCCCAGGGGGGCAGAGGCGGGTCCCGCCACCACTTCCGTGTCCCCAGAATTTGGCACACAGTGGGTGTCCGGCCTGAGGGCGCAGGATTGCTCCCCGCGTAGTGGGGGCCCAGAGGTCTGGGTTGAATGAATGAATGCATGAATGACGCTGGATGGCGGGTGGGGGTCGCACCGCCCGTGGTGACACTGCCTGTTCCCTGTCACACGCAGGCCGTTCCTTCCTGCTGCCTCAACCATGACATTCCGATTTGGGCGGCAACCGCTCCCCGACAGACACCTGTGATTGGTTCAAAGAGATTAAGGCCGCCCTGCCCTTTTTGCTCTTGATTGGTCTCTAGTAGTCACATCCAGCCAATGGGGCTTGAGAGAAAACCTTGGGGGGCCGAGGGACGTTCCTCTGGTGACATGGACACGAGGCCGGGAGCAAGGCATCGTCTCTAACCAAGCACGACAGCCCAAGGACAGGAAGCTGCACTCAGGGTGGCAGCAGAGAAGGCGGGGATGGGCCCCGGCGGGGGGTGACCCAGGGAGCACCCGAAGGACCAGGGCCCCAGCCTCAGGGCGGCTGGATAGGCCGGACAGACGCAGGGTGGCTCGCTGTGGCCAGCGTCTTCTCCACTCTAAGTGGCTGGACTTCATCCCTTTGCGCTGTATACGGTGAAGCCATAACCTCCAGGCCTCAGAAGGTGACTATTTAGAAACAGAGTCTTTTACAGGGAGATTCAAGTCCCTGGGGTAGCCCCGATCCAGTTCGACCATGGGGTCCTCATGGAAAAGGAAGCGATGCTCAGAGAGACATCAGCCTGGCACACACAGGACAGAGACAGCTAAGGGGGCTGCAGGAGAAACCAGACCTGAGTGCAGCACCGGGGGTTGAACTCGGGGCCTTCACACTGAGCTACATCTCCAGCTCCCCCAACACTTTTTAAAAAAATTTTTTTTTTAATTTTGAGACAGAGTCTTACCAAATTGCTAAATGCCCCAAGCAGGGCTGGAACTTTCAACCTGCCTGCCTCAGCCTCCCGGGGAGCTGGGATCACCACGCCCAGCTCAACACCTTGCTCTTGTACTTTGAGCCTCCACACCTGTGAGAAAGTACATTTTCAGACCCGTGAGGAAATAAATTTCTGGAATTTAAGCCGCTCGGTCTATGCTGTTTGTTATGGCCTCCCCAGTAAACAAATTCAGATATCTGTTGTTATGATCAATATATTATCACCATTATTTACGAATAAATAGCCCTTTATCTCACCATTGTTCCCGCAGCTTGGAACCTGGATGACACAGCGCGGCCCCAGCGTTATGAGCAGTGCAACATCAGCCCATGCCCGGCCTTCTTGGTGCCCCTCTCCCAGCGACATATCTGCCCATTGCTTCCTCAGTACGAATCCAGCCAATCTCCACCGTGCCCCGGGGCTGCACCCGCTGATGTTCGGCTGCCGGCTTTTCTTCCATCTCTTGGCTGCTGTGTGACCCGGGCGAGCTGGTTAGGTCCTTTGACTCTGTCATCTCCTCCACGGTGCTAGGAATACGCATGCGCAGGCTTGCATCGGGCCGGAGCAAGCCGGGACCTGTAAGGGCCCTGCAGAGAACTTGACGCATGGAAAGTGCTTGAAGGATGGAGGCCGTCAGTTTTCCGAACTTACAGAGAGGGACGAGAAAGGAGGACACAGTCCTGTTCTCACTTGCATGTGTTCGTTGTCATCTTCCCGAGCCTTTGGCCAGCGCCAGACGCATTCTACCCTGAGCTGGGAGCAAGCAACCCTGCCGCGGGTGCGCGGGCTCGGGACAGCCGGTGAGACACAGGGCAGTTACTATTCGACTTCCTGGCAATGGGGGGCGGGGGGAATGACACTGCTTGGTGATGGTGCGAGGCCAGGTGCTTTGGCCGGACCTGCTGTTTATCATGGCCTCCAGATTCTGCTGTCTTTATATCCCTTTTCTGCTTAAAGAAAAAGGCTCAGATGGGGTACTGCAGCCCAGATCCACAGAAAGAAGGGGCCGGAACTCGAATCCAGCACCCACATAACCCCGCAGCCTCCAGCCTCTGGGACCTGGGGCCCGGCCTCTCTGGCTTCTGCTGCCGTGCTCACACCCGGACACTGAGAGCCGGGCGCGAGTAAGGTGCCAAGGGCTGGCTGCGAATCCAGAGGCTCTGAGCCAGGACATCTGGAGACACCCCACTGAAACTCTCCACAGGTGACAGGGAGGCAGCCAGGGTGGGGCCCAGCCGGTCAGGACTGAAGAGGTTCTGCAGTCCTGGGCCTGGTGGGCCCCACTCGGTCGGATCCATAGAGGTCAGCAGCACAGCCTTTTCTTTTCCTGTTTTTCTTCTTTAGTTTTATTTTACATTTATTTTAATTGCCACATAAAACAGAAAAGTTGTACGCATTAAGAGCACATAGGGCATGGTGGCACATGCCTGTAATCCCAGCACTCGGGACGCTGAGGCAGGAGGATGGTTGCAAGTTTAAGGCCACCCGGGCTACACAGTGAGTTCAAGACCAGCCTGAACCACATAGTGAGACTCTGTCTCAAAAACACACACACAAAAAGAACATATACGATGTATGATGTTTAAATCAGCAAATTAGTCACAGCCTGTTCTTATTCTAACCAGAGAGGGAATGGCTGATTCTTCTTTCTTCTTTCTTCTTTCTTCTTCCCCTTCCCCTTCTCCTTCTTCTTCTTCTTTTTTACCTTCAGTACTGGAGGTTGAAGCCCAGATCTTCACACTGAGGTACATCCCCAGCCTTCTCCTTCTCCTGCCTTTTAAAAAATTATTTAATTTTATTCTGAGAACAGATCTAAGGAGCTAAATTGCTCAGGCTGGGCTGGAAGTTAGGATCCTCCTGCCTCAGCCTAGTTAAGTGAATCCCTTAACTCTTTACCCAATACTCACAGCAATATGGATTTAAGGTGCTGTGGTGACATCAAGACACACGAATACTGGGGCACCCCGGAACTGTCTGGAGTGGTCGTTTCACCCCCTTCATAGACCAGGAAGTTGAACTGAAGTTGCTTTTTACAATTCTTCCATTCTGGAGAAAAGTCTGGGTTCTTGTCTTTACTTTTTAAATGGGTTCCTAACACACTTTTTCTGTCTTCTTCCAAAAAAGAAGATAATGAATTAAATTGCTCTGTATGAGTGATTTTTAGGAGGGGGAATCAGGATCCATTAGTAAAACCAAAAGCGAGGAGCCCTCCCCATCTCTCCAGAGGGCCCCCACCCCGTGGGCAGCAGCCTCAGCGTGACCCAGGACTCGGGCTCCCCGCCTCCTGGTTTCTGGCTGGTGGTGAGGGTCTCTCTTTCGCGCCCGGCTCTCAGAATGGGTCACTGTGGGCAGGCTAACTAAGCCTGGAAATGCGCTTTCCTTGGTTAAGCCAAAAGTGAAAGCGGGGAGGAGAGTGGAGGACACGCTAAGAGGATTGACGATTAGCCGGGACACACGCTTCGGGAATTGACCTTTGACCGAGGGACACAAATAAGGCCAGGCAGCAGCCGGGGCGGAGAGCAGAGGGGCGTGCGAAGGAGAGAGCGCCGAGCGGCTCCTCGTTTCGACGCGGCGGTCCCTGCGGGGGTCGCTCACACCCGCCAGCCCCATGGACGTTATATTCGGCAGGAGCAAGAAGGAGCAGCTGGAGCCTGTACGGGCCCAGGTGACAGGTGAGCGTTCTGCAGAGACGACTGGCTCTCCTCACGCCGAGGTGGACATCTTTTTTTTTTTCTTTTTTGTAAATTGCTTTTGGAAAACAGCATACAGGGGTAAAAAGACGTGGAGTCCAGACACACTGTCTGTGCGTATGTGGGGTAAGAGTCTGCCGAGAGGGCAGGAGTCGTTCTCACGATCTCCGGGAGCAGTGCTGGGGGCGCTCTTGTCGCTGCCGAGGCGATGGGACACGGTGCAACATGCGGCTTAGCCGGCTGCCTGAGCGGTTGCGTGGGCGCATCCCGGCCTCCGCCTGTAGCGCCCCGAGCTGCGCGCGCGCTCCCGCCGCACCCTGCACGCCCCGGGCCACCGCAGAGCCGGAGGAGACCGATCCTCGTGGCTTGCTCCTTCCCCTGCCGCCCCCTCCCCTGTTCCCTTTTGGGTGCCATGTCCCTGGAGCCGGCGCCTACTCACCAGGGCAGGCCCTCCTCTGCGCTCGCAGGGACCCAGGGCTTCGCATCTGAAAACAGCTCAGGTGCTCACCTTTCGGTAGGTGGGTTGGGGATGTTTTCCACCCGCAGAGGATGAGAGCAAAGGCTTTTGTGTATACTTTTCCTAGTTACAAAACTAAGACTCAGCCCATAACTCTTCCTCTATATGTGTGTAGATGAATATTTTGTATGTAAAATTTGGGAGTAAATTAGGATGTATAACGAAATAAAAAGCTGTATCCCCATCTCTTAAGCACTATTCTTTTCCTTATTCTCAGTACTGTACTGGGGATTGAATCTAGTAGGGCCTTTACACTGAGCTATATCCCTAGTCCTTTTTTATTCTGTATTTGAGACAGATTCTCATTAAGTCATTAAATTGTCCAAGTGGAGCTCAAGCTTATGATTGTCCTGCCTCAGCCTCCCATCTTAAGCACTATTAATATGTGAGTCCTGCTCCCTCTAAGTTCTTACAACACAGGTACATATGTATAGAGAGAGATAGATATAGATATATAGATATATATAACTACGTTATACTTGAGCAATATAAATAGATATGAATGTTTTTTGAAATATATAAATATTTTTCCACAAGCAAATGTGTGTTTACAATGAATAAATTAATGTTGGTTTTTTCAAGGCAGGGTCTTGCTATGCAGTTCCTAGAACTCACTATGTAGCCCAGGCTGGCCGTTAACCTGTGGCAATCCTCATGCCTCAGCCTCCTGAGTGCTGGGATTACAGGGGGCGCACTGCTGTGCCTGGCTACTTTATTACTTTTAAAAATATGCCAGGATGCCCACCCTTTTGCTCTGGGATCCTGCCTCCCCTTATGGTCAGTGACCTCATGGAAATCCTTGGAAAGTTTAGAAAACACAGATCCTAAACCCTGAGGGGTTGATGGACACCAGAGACCCTCTAGAGCAGTGGCTCCCAAAGGGGGCCCCTAAGCACCCAGGAGAGCACCAATCCCTGCCCCCTGCCCCCAACACCCAGCCCTCAGCCCCCAGCCCTCAGCCCCCCAGACCAGACAGCAGGGTACAGCCGCCATCCTATCCTCACAGCCCTCTGGGTGTTTCTGAGTGAGAGATGGGAAGCTGAGACAGGAGGGGCTGTGATGTGCCCAAGGCCACACGGCCCGCTAGTAATGAGCCTGCAACGATGTATCCAGGCCAAGGGCCTGAACAGACAGCTGGGGCGCTTGGGTCCACGCTGTGCAGGGGTGGGGGGCCAAGGTTCAGGCTTCAGTCCCGCGGTGTATTAAGGCAGAAATCAGCCTCCAGGGTACAATGACCAGGGAGTCCTTGGGTGGGACACCAGCAGTGTCTGCTGTGGCACCATCTTAGTTTTGATTGATTGCATACGGGGATTAAACCCAAGGTCTTCACCCTGAGCTACGTCCCCAGTCCTATTTCTGAGACTGGGACTCACTGTGTCACCTAGACCGGGCTCTAACTTGTGATCCTCCTGCCTCAGCATCCCAGAGATCGGGGCTTATTGGAGTGAGTCACCATGCCTGGTTACAGACCGTCTTAGAACAGCATTTGCTGCCCATAGCAGGCCACGTGGGCACTGCTAAACTGTCTAGTAGACACATTCAGAAGGTAAAAGGAAATTGTCAAAATAAACTTTTAAAATTGTTTTTGATAAATTTGAATAGTATCTTCCATTTAAGACAACATGAAGTTACTATGAAACATGGCAAGTGATACTTTGCTTTTTTTCATACCGAGTCTCTGAAACCCCGGGTGTTTTATCCAGGCAGCACACTCTAACTCAGACCAGCTACCTTGACTACTCAATTGCCCATGCAGCTGACGGTGGCCATATTGGACAGCACAGTTCTAGAATGTTCTTTCTTATGTCTGTGTGAGGCTCTGTCAGGTCACCTGTAGTAAGGGCGGTTGCACCTTCCTGCTCTCCTCCCTGTGGAAGTTCTGTACTCCTCACTTTAAATTTTGAGACAGGGTCTCGCTAAGTTGCCCAGGTTGGCCTAGACCTTGTGACCCTCCTGCCTCAGCCTTCCGAGTAGCTGGGATTGCAGGTGTTCACCGCAATGCCTGGCACTTATGCCCTTTCTAGAAGTGGCTGGAATATGGGAACAGAAGCCATGAGGAGGGTCGGGGCTGTCCGGCCTCAGTGTCCTGCCAGGGCTGCTCCTTTGAGCTGTTTGGTTGCGACATGGAAAATGGCATCTAAACATTCTTTCTTCTCCCAGGCAGGATTCCGCCCTGGTTGCAGGGGACTCTGCTTCGCAACGGACCCGGGATGCACACGGTGGGCGACAGCAGGTACAACCACTGGTTTGACGGCCTGGCCCTGCTGCACAGCTTCACCATCAGGGACGGTGAGTGTTGTGTGACGACCGGCAGATGCCGCGCATGCGCTGATTCCGTCCAGGTCCGCAGGGTGGGGGTCCGCGCTGAGGGGCGCAGGCGGAAGTGAGGGCAGAGGTGGGGCGGTTCCTTCCGGGGGCGCTGGAGGAGAAGCTACGCCCTTGCCGTCTCCAGCGCTTCATGGCTTGTGGCTCCATCTCGGTCCTCCAAGCCAGCAGTCCTGCAGTCTCAGTCTGTCTGTCTCTCCCTTCCTTTTATCCCCTCCCTCCATTGGCACAACTCTTTCTGTGCTCTTACTTCCCTGCCCCCTTCTTTTTCTTTTTCCTCTTTGAGAGATGAGCTTGCTGTGTAGCTCAGGCTGGCCAACTCACTGTGTACCCCAGGCTGGCCTTGAGCTCAGCGATCCTCCTGCCTCAGCCTCCTGAGTGCTGCATTGCAGACGTGTTCCGCTATGCCTGGCTTCCTGCTTCCCTCTTAGGAGGACGTGTACAGATAACCCAAGATAACCCCCACCTCATCACACCTACCTAGTCCCTTGGCTATGCCAGGGAATAGATTTCCAGATTCCTGGAATCAGGAAGTGGACATCTCGGGGATGGGGCATCACGCAGCCCTCTACAAACTTGAGTTTCTCTGGGAAAGCAGCCAGCTACCTTTTCAGGTCATCTTGCAAAGCAGTGAGCTCTTTTCATGATGCAGGAAGAGCTGAGGGCCATTACAGGCTTTGGACAAGACCGGAAGCGAGCGTATCTAAAATGTCCGGGCAGGTGTTCAGACTCACAGGCACTGTACAAGGCATCACGCGCGATCTGTCTTAGTCATAATCTGGGGTCGGCAGGAGGAACGGGAAGCGGGGAAATTCTGCACTGTCCCCTGCCCTTCCGCTCTCTGGACCCCGAGCCTGGGCAGGGCCTGGGGGGGGTGTGGCCTGCCTTGCAGGGCAGTGTCATCTGCCAGGTTCCCCCCTTTTGAAAAGGAGCAGGGACTCTTCGGGGCCAGGACCATAGGACGCAGCGGACAGTCCTGTCGGTAGAGGGGCAATGTTTCCCCAACTGCACTCTTTAATATTTGCTACAGAGAGTTTCCCAGGTGCTTCCCTAAGTGCGCCCCCAACAGACACACAGCTCAGCCCTCATGAAGAAGGCACCACTGGGTCCAGGTGAAGGACCAAGGCCCAGAGAGGCCGAGTAACTTGCCCAAATGCACAGCGCTCGGAAGAGGTGTTGAAAACCCAGTGCTGCCCCAAGTCAGAATTCAAATCCTAATCGTTGTGCACTTCCACCTGGTCCCCCTCCCACCAGCCTCTCCCTACCTCCCCAGCTCAGTCTTCTTGTTGCTAATGTTGACACAGCACAGCCTGGCCGCACCACCCCTCTAGAACACTCAGTGGCTCCCTGTTGTCTAACAATAGAAATATAAACCAAAAATGTTAAGGATGACCTCTAGCCCCTTGGCCCAGCCCCACAACCAAGGTAATCAGAAATGCTGTGGGCTCCCCGGGGGGCAGACTTCTGTAATGTTTAAAAAGTGCCCAGGTAGCTAGGCATGGTGGCATAGGCCTACAATCCCAGCTAGTGGGAAGCTGAGGCAGGAGAGTTATAAATTCAAGGCCAGCCTGGGCAATTTAGGGAGACGGTGTCTTACATTTATTTGTGTATTCTGTATTTATTGATTTATTTTTATTGTAGGACTGGGGATTGAGCCTAAGGCTTTTATACTTTTTGTTTTCCCCTTCAGTCAGGATGACTGAATTGCTCAGGCTGGACTATATTGGGAGTTCAAGGCCAACCTGAGCTACATAGACCTTGTCTCATAATAATAATAATAATAACTACAATAGATTGGGCAAAGGAGGCAGAGTGGAGTGGGGGAAGCTGCATGGTATAGGAGTGTTCTCCTCCCTAAGCCTACCAGGATTCGCATGCTGGGGAGTGTGTGTGTGTGTGTGTGTGTGTGTGTGTGTGTGTGTGTCCCTTCGGCCCAGCGAGATGTCACACTTGGCCCTGCTGCAGAGGCTGGGCCGGAGCGGTCTGTTTACTGTGTCCCTTTGGAAGGAATGTGGCTAGTTGAGTCCTGGGAGGAAGGGAACCTGGTGGCTCCATCTTTAATCTCAAACTCACAGTCCTGCGTCAGCACTGAGTGATTCCAGAGACAGTTCCCTCTGGCCCCGGGGGCTCCGTGCTCCGGGCGCTGCTGGATGTTTCAAAGAAAAGCGTGGCCTGAGTTTGCGTTTCAGGTGAAAAGAATTCAGCCTTTTCGGGCCAAGCACCCACCTGAGGGCCCCAGAGCGCCGGAGCCCGCGCCTTGTGGGCGGTGATCTCCAGCGAGTGCGACCAGAGAACTCGCTGACCCTGGAGCCCGCTGTGTGCGGCCGGAGGCTGAGGACCAAGTCTGTCTCCCTCTGCAGCTCCCATCCCCTCTTCTCTGCCCAGAAGGGAGCCCTGAGCATGGTGTGTGTCACTCTGCCTGGCACAGAAGACTGGGTGGGGAGATCTTAGACGGGGAGATCCCTGGGGCACCCGAGTGGCCTAAGGGGATCACAGGGTCCTCAAAGAGAAAGGTGGGTCTGAGTCAAAGGAGAGGTGTTGTAGTTTGGGGTTTTGCAAGGGGAACAGTGCAATACGGGACACTTAATTATAAGATTATTTTTAATAATTACAAAGAATCATATACAAAAAGAGAGTGCAGGAAATCTGTCCACACACTAAAGACCAAAGAATCCAGTTGAGGGCTTGGATCACACCATAATGTCCTGCATGAGTCCAGCTGAAGACCTAGAGCCCACAACAGTGCCTCCCACAAGTCCAACTGGAGGCCTAGAGCACACGACAATGTCTCATGCAGGCCTGTTTCGCAATCTGCACTGGGAAGGCCCAAAGTTCAGTGATGGAATCTAGAAAGTCTGTGCCATTGGGATGAAGGATCTGTGCTAGCAGGCTGAGGGATCTGCACTGGAGCCAGAAAGTGATGCTCAAAGTAAGAACCAGAGCTCCCCCATAAAGTCCCACAGTCATCCTCAGCAAAGTGAGGTCCTGAGCTCCTTCAATGATCAGGACAGCCGAGTTCCCATCAGGAAAGCCAACGCAACAAGCTTCTCCAGGAGACTGAGCAGTGCACCTTCTTCCCCTCCAGCGCCAGGAAGTACTGCTAAAGTGAGGACCAGAGCTCCCCAAAGTGAACTGAAGCCATTCTCAGTGCCAACAAGCTCCTGAGCTCCTCGAAGGATGAAAACAGCCAAGTTCATCAGGAAAGCCAGCATGACAAGCTCCTCCAAGAGAACCAACAGCTCCTTACAGTTCTAACAACACCCAACATCTTCTCTAACAGCTTCCAATAGCCTCTCTCCTTCTTCCTCTCCAGTTCTGCCTCTTATGCTGGGGGAACAATCCTCAGGTGGGCCTCCCACACCCAGTACCATGCTCACTCAGTTCAGCTGGGGGTTACAAATTGACTGCCAGGTGTCAATCCACCACAAGAAGTGACGATGAAACAGATCCCAGAGTGACAAAACCACAAACCAAGGGATGCAAGAGTCCCTGGAGCTCAAGAAAGCAAGGGGTGGACTCCCTGCCAGTCTCGGGGAGGAATTAGCCCTGCAGGAGCCACCTCACTATGTCTTCCAAAACCGTAGGGAAACAAATGTGTGTTGTTTTAAACCATGAAGTTTGTGACCACTCGTTTTAGCAGCACAAGAAACTAACAGAGTCTAGAGCAATGGTAGGAAACATACAGCACGTGTGCTGCAGTGGGCCGTTTACATCATTGAAAGGCTCTAAAAGGTTCGCCATTGCTGATCTAGAACCACCTTGGGTACTCTCAGGTTGGCCTCCACGGCCTGGCCACGAGTCCCTGCTTTATGCAGTCACGGAAAGCTGCTCCAGCAGCTAGATGAATTCTGTATCAAACAGAGTTCTGACCCTCTACCCAGGACTGGGCTTAGGTGGCCCCCTGGCTGTATTAGATAGTGAATGTTACTCCAGGAGGCTGACACTGTCAACACAGGCTTCTGAAGGCAGGACTCCTCCCGCTGAATAGAATCATGGGGAGAATACAGTTTTCTGGACCCATCCTCCAAGACTTTGCCTTCTCTGAAGGGTTACTAACATGGAGGGAGGGATACCAAAATGGAGGAATGAGTGTGAGCACAGCAAGAAGGATATCAATATGGTGGAAGGTGTAGCAACATGGTCGGAGGGATGCCAATACAGTGGGAGGGATGACCAATGTCTGAAGAAGGCTGGGCAAGGCAGTTGAATGCGTTTGTGCCTCAGTTCCCCCATGCAGAAATGCAGCTAAGGCAAGCATACTTTCCTTACTATATTGCTGAGTCTCAAATGAGAAGATGTGGGGTGTGAAAGTGTACCCCAAATGCTGGTGTATCAAGCCCTCACTTTGAAGGAGCCCATCCTCGGGGACTGTTGTCCCCCAGTAAAGCTCCCAGAATGGTGGGCATCACCTTTAAAGCTCTGTAAAGGGGCCAGCCTGAGACTAACCTGCTGCTTCTCTTTCAGGTGAGGTCTATTACAGGAGCAGATACCTGAGAAGTGACACCTACAATGCCAATATCGAGGCAAACAGGATCGTGGTGTCAGAGTTTGGAACGATGGCATACCCCGACCCCTGCAAAAACATCTTCTCCAAGTAACTGGCCATTTTGTTTTTTTGTTGTTGTTGTTTTGTTTTTTGTTTTTTTTTTTTTTTAAAGAGTAAGAGAAGGATAACAATAATGGGGGTGCTTACCAAATTACAGACAAAGAGGTAGGAAATTATCAATGGTTATTGTTTTACATATTGTTATCTACAAGATAGTTTCTCAGGAAAACAAATAGACAAATAATAGTGAGTTAGAGACAAAAGAGGAAGGAGATTATCAA